TAAAATTTTAAATACAAAAATTGTTCAAACTAAATTTGTATACACTGCGCGTCAAAATTAACGCATAATAAGTAAAAAAATTCCAACTCTTAATTGCCTTTACCAATCTTTATGAAATTTTGTATACAAATACTTATATCTCAGTTTATATTTTCCATAGTTTTTAAAGAAAATATTTTTAAAGAACTTTTATTTAATAATAAAAAATGTTTGAAAATTAACTTTTAGGGATTACACGTATTTTCCAATTAAAGCTTTGACTGTCATAAGGGCCAGGTTAATATTAATAATTAAGAACTTGAAAGGATTTTTTTAAAATTATTTGGAATCGATTTCGGACTATCGTGAAAAAAATTAAAAATACCCCAAATACTCTAATGTACAAGGTATAGTTTAAGTATAAACATTACTTGCAAAATTACCTATTTATTATACAGGGTGTTATGTAATTAATGTTCTATATTAAAATACTGAATACCTTTTGACATAAGGAATAAAGGAAAAATATTTTAAAAAACATTTTTCCAAAGATAAAAAAAAAATATGCATTAGAAGTTTTTTATATTTTTTGTGATACGCCACTGGTTACACACTTGGTTTATCTACATAGATACCAACCAACAAAGTAGCTATGCGTTGCCAGATGTAAAAAATTGTTACTAAAAATTTTTCTTGCAAAAAATAAATAAAAACTTAATAAATACAAAAGTTTTATGCCCTTAAAGCTCTAATACCCTTCTGTATTTATTTACTGATCCAGTTATTAGCTTAAGCAATGATTAGAAAATTTAGTACCTTTGAAATTTAAATCCATAACCACAAAATTAATTTTTTCATCAGTTTTTTTCTCTGTTTACTCAGATGAAACTGGGACCAGTTCACAGGTTAAACTTTAAACATTTAATTTGTGTAAATAAATCCAAAAGCACTTCCCTTAGTTAAGATATTTACAATTTGAAAACATAACCTAAAATTTAAAAGAAATGCACTAGATTCTGTCATAAAAGTTGGCAGATTTTGTTTGAATTTACCTTCAGTACAAAAATGACATAACCAACAATTAATAAAAACGCCAAATTGACAATTTGCATTGTTAATTTTATCATTTTTGTAATTAAGCTAAATTTAAACAATGTTTGTCAACTTTTTTGAGAGATTTTGGAAACACTGTTGTTACCAACCATAACATAATAAATCCACCAGATTAACCTAAAGGTCCTAGTCGATCAGTGGCGTACTTTTTGGTAGGATAAAGGTTATTATAAATTATTTTTAGACTTTGGAATTTAGAAAAAAAAGTTTCAGGTGCTTCTTTATGGACCCTAAGGAACAACCCATTTTAATATATAACATTAATTACATAACACCCTGTATTTAGGGTGCAGTTGCCACCACTATATTTAGGGCCGGTCGGGGTTTTTTGCTGCCCCCGGCAAGGACATTTTATCTGCCCCCTTTTTTTTATTCAGCAGGAATGGGGAAAACAGCAGTTTAACGTAATAGTTTTTTTTTTAATTTTGTATTTGGTTTTCAATGAGTTTTGTTATGCTTGTGAAGATAAAATATTTAAAACTTTTATTTTTGGACTACCAGTATATTATATTCATATTTTGTATGTTTATTAAATGAGTAAGTAGCATTTATTAGCTGAATAAGGTGTAATTATTTAATTTATTTTATTTTAGGAGGTTTTAACTCCCTAAACACGCCATCTGAATTCACCACTGAATAATATTATTGAATAACTTGTTTAAAAAATCAATTTATTTTAGTTAATTCAAATTTTGAAAACAAATATTTATGGCGTATATTATTTCTGCAGCTTGATAATACAAGAATAATACGTAAAACGCAATGTCGCCCACATTGATGCCGCCCTGGCAGTTGACCGGTTCGCCCATACCTCAGGCCGGCCCTGACTATATTTCCCTGGGATAACATTCCCAACTTTTCAGACTTAAATTAGTGCAACGTTATACATATATAGTAAGACAAAAAGATTATAATGTAACTTTTCTTTTTTCATTTATTTAACTAAAGTGTTTTTATTTTTAATCATGATTTTTAAACTCAAATTATTTCCAGAAAACAACTATTTTAAGTTTTTCTTACTTTTCATTAACCACGTTTTCCAGTAGCCACCCAAAATATTGCTAAAAAAAACTGGTTGTTGTTTTCAACTTCTCTTAAGTAATATTTTAAAATGATGGTTAAATAATTAATATAGATAAAATTTTGGCAAAAACTCCAATTTACATAATTTAGTTGTTGTCGGGTAGCCCTTTTGCAATAATAATTTAAACATAATATGTCCCTGGATTACATGATTCAACAAATATAAGATAAAATTAAATTAAAGAAATGAAACTTTTGCATAAATTGCGAGGCACAGTCATATATAGAATCATAAAAAATATTTAATTAGAATTGATATACGAGGTGTGTTCAGAAAATATCGGGAATTTTAGTTTTTTGAAACAAATATTTATTTATTCGTCTACATTAATGTCGCCTTCAAAATAGTCCCCATTGGATATCATGCACATGTGCCAGCTCTTCTTTCAATACTCGAAACACTTATAAAACTCGATCTTCGGGATAGCTTTTAGTTCTTTCAGCGATGCGCTTTTAATGTCATCTATGCTTGCAAAACGACGGCCCTTTAAGGTTCTCTTTATTTTTGGGAATAGGAAAAAGTCAGACAGAGAAATGTCTGGCGAATATGGAGGCTGGGGCATCATTACAGTATTGTTTTTGGCCAAGAATTTTGTTCAGAATTTAACAATTTTAGAACAAATTTTGCTGCCACGCGTTTCATACCCAAAACATTCGAAAAAATTTCATGGGAAGAGCCAATCGATATACCAAAATCATCAGCGACTTCTCTGATGGTTTATAACCATTTCTTACACTTTTTTCATGTTTTTATCGGTTGTTAATGTGCTTGTGCGTTCGGGGCGTTCGTCATCTTCAACGTCTTCACGGCCATCTTTGAAACTCTTATACCACTTGTAAACTCTTGTTTTACTTATAGCAGACTCACTATGGGCCTTTGTTAACATTTCACAGAATTTATTTCATTTTTTAAGCAAAATTGGATACAAATTCTTTGATCCATTTCTTTTAACGAATGAAAAATCGCCAAGCTCATAAAACACGTCTAACCTTAGCGGCTGACACAGACAAAGTAAACAATGAAAACAGCTAAAGTTTGTATCATACTTCGGGGCATGTATACCAACATAATAAATAACATTTTATGACAACCGGACCCTCTGAACCCCCGAAATTTAACAATTCTCGTTATTTTCTGAATACACCTCGTAAATCAATAAATAAATAAAAATAACAAAGGCAATACTAAATTTAGAAAATTTTAATATTAAAAGATCTAAATTTCTAATGGGAGCCTTGCACAAAATACGTCACTTGGTAGAAGTAGAGTTCGGCAACGACTAACTGCGACATGGAAGGTAAAGGTCTTTTCTCTACGACTACTTAAGAATAGTAACATTCTAGTGTAATTTTTAATCATAGAAAGGATGTTTTTCTGCAATACTGTGCGAGAATATTCCTACTCTTTTTTAAGAATGGTCACAAGTAACGACATCTCCTGGCTGTTTACTAAACGTAAAAAATTTAATAATATTTAAATATTACTGTATTATTTATTAATTAAAAAATAATAGCAGTTGTATAATTAAGGTTTAGGCACAAAAAAATAGTTATATTTATTGTTTTTCAAATATACAAATCAAAATTATAATAAATTTGATATTAAAATAATAAACCAGTTACCTACTATACCGGCTTTGAAGTTTTGACAGATTCAAAAAGTTTTAAAAAAGACCTTTAAAATGTAGAAAAAGAATAGATGTTGACATAGATTACTTGTAAAATTAGTTTTGTATTTGTTACAATGTTATTTTTTTATTGGTAAGTGTAAATAACTATTTTTAATTATAATAAAGATTTAGGCATACCAGTTGATTAAATTTATTATAATTTACATTATAAAATTGTGACGGCACAAAATGGTTTGACATATAAAAAACTTAAATGTCAAAAACTGCTTGGTTTCTTTTCTCTGTTTAAAATTATATAAGCGTTACTATTCTTACGTAGTCGTAGAGAAAATAATGTCTGAAACACGTCTGGAATAGCATATTCCACTCTCGTAAAACCGTCACACTCGCCTTCGGCTCGTGTGTCAAATTTTTCCTCGAGCGGAATATGCTGTATTCCAAACTTGTTACAGAATGTACTATTCTCTATGTTATGTAACACATTTTGTTTTAAATTATTAATTTAAGTTATTTTACTGAATTAAGTTTGCGTTCAACTAATAGTTTTTTATATGTGACGACGTCTAATGTGGAGACGAGTCATAGGTTTGGGACGAAGTGTGACATGGGGGGAGGGGTCAAACGCTTCAAGAACAGCACGAACGAGTATAAAAAACTACGAAAAATATAAGAAAATCAAGAAAATAAATGTAAAAAAATAAAGCATCCTTAATAGGCTTATCATATAAAAAATACCTGAAAACGCTAAAGCCGGGACTGTATATAAGCAAATTGCTTAAAGCAATACTAGGTAAACCCAAACCAAAATAATAGTTGGTAAGTATTATTTGCGGTTTTAAAAGATAGTAATTCATTCTATTTACACTTTCGATTTCGCCACGACAATTAAAAAAAATCAATTATAGACCGAGCTCAACATTATATAACCTCACGGAGTTTATTTACATTCAGTGACGAAAAATTATTAGATACAATTTATTTATTAATAAATTATCTTGTTAAGCACGTGCGCTTAAAATTTGGTTTTTAATGACGCAGCATCAGTTCATAAATAACAATTTAACGTTTTATTAATGTTGTTAATGTTAATATATCACGGTAATTTTTTTAACGAATTGAATTATAATGGAAACAGAAATACCCATTGGAATATCCATTTTTCGTATTGTTTATAATTGTAAATGAAAAACTTACCTGAATGGAATGTCCATGATTCTGTTGGTTAATGTTCAGCTGTTGTGCCTGGTTAATTTGCAACGTAGACCCACCGGTATTTCCCCCAGGTCCTGATGGAGGTCTTGGAGGTGTGCCTCCTCCAAAAGGACCCCCTTGGGGAGCGGCATTTCCAGGACCACCGTTTCTCGGAAGATACCCAGGACTACCATGACTACTTGCACTAGGAGAACCGTATGGAGAGTAGGGCTGTTTGTACATACCCGCCCCTTTTCGCTTTATGTCGAACTCGTTGCTTTGGAAGATCATTTCCTGTTTGATCATGTCTGGATTCGGGAAGTTGGGACTATTTTTGTGGAAGTTGTTGTTTGAGTTCGGACTGCCGTAATCGCCCTGGAACTGGAAGTCTGTATAGGGTGACCTGGGGTTAGGCGCGTTCCGGTTATTGGGGTTAAACGATAGTCCCATTTGATTTTTGTGCTGGTGCTGTTCGGCCATTTGTTTCAATGTTTGAGCGGCCGGACTTAATTCAGTCTTGGTAAAATCCATGTTGGAGAAGGGTGGCATTCTTTGCTTTGATTCAAAGACGGGAGGGGAATAGTTGTTTTGGTTCTGTATTAAGGGACTGTGTGTATTTTTGGCATTGTTATCCGAAATTGATGGAAGATCTTTGATATCCTCGGTTTTGAGACCGTTGGTTAGGATATTTTCAGCTTTCTCCTCGAAATCGAACTTCATCAAATCGGGATAGTTACTAATATCTGAGATCAAATCTTTAAACGCGGCAGTTGACATTAATTCGTCATTAGTATCGTCCCCGATCAGATCGGGGAAACCACCGAAACCAGCTCCACCATTCGCCGCTGCGTCCTTTTCCAATGCAGCTGCACATTGGTCTAAATCGGCGAAATCATTGTCTGGTTCCTGTTTGCACTCGACTATCGTGCCGACGTCCAAACCGATATTTTGCTTTTGCTGCAGGTTGGAGGCCGGCGTGGAGGGATTTGATTTCGGCGACGACACGTCGCTTTTGACCGAGGCATTTGTGTGCGCTTTTACTGTTACATTCGTCGAGATTTGCTGCGGTTGCGAGTTTGCTGCCGATGTCGTGAATTCCAGCTGCTGGACAATTTCCACTGAGAATTTTGTTAAACCTAAGAAAAATTATTAAAGCAATGCAATATTTTTTTATAAGGAATTAGTTTAATTTACCTTCGTTTTGATGAGATCCATGTTGTTGTGCGGTGCACTGAAGTTTCACCGGTGGCTCGAAGCTATCGTTCGGACCGCCAGGATCGTGATCGTCAGCCGACCGTTTCAGGAACTTTTGCTGCTGCAACATAACGGAAAACGGAAATTAGCATCTTCGTGGCTCAAGTCTCACTTACTTAGAAGACGTACTAACTTGCGGCGCACCAACTGTATGTGGTTGTCGATAGGCGATTACCCGTGCTTATAGCTAGCTATTAAATCAAACATTAGAGATCGTTATCGCCCGGTATTTACGCAAATTTCCCGGTACGTTAACATTTTTAACTTCCAATTAAGATGCGTTCCAGGAAATAAAGGTGTGATGCTTGTCTAATACATTTTAAACCAAACAACATTCATAATTCATATTCATTTGAATTTGCCCATTAAAACTAACAGGTCTTCTAAATCATATGTTATAGAAGACCTGTTGCAACAATCCAGAAAATGTACCGCGCGCCATGTTTTTTGTTTGTTTCTGTCTCCGAACATATGACAATCTCGAATTACAGATTACAACAGTGCACCTGCATTGCGAACGCATAAAGTCGAGGCGTTCTCTGCTGCGTTGCCACATCTTTACTTACAGCAATTATCTAGTCGAGATACTAAATTATGTTCAGTACAGTAAGACTTTAATTGGCCATGATTACAATAAAATACAGTACAATGTAGATATTACTTTACTTAAGTACTAACGGCATTTACATTTTTACGAAAACAAACATATTATATTAAAATATTACCTAGCAAGGTATAGTATAAGTTTATTTGTGAAGTCTATTTTTTTAACATTGATTGTAAAAGTATATTAACAATGCATACCTTGTAAAAATACCTCAAAATATTTCTTTTCCAAGGCTTTACTAAATGTGCAATATTAATTATTGGACTTATTATTAATATTAATATTTTTAGGTATTTTTGTCAAACGCCTATTTTATAATTTGCAAAGTATTCATTGTTAAACGGAATTTTTCTTTTCCAGAATTTGTAAGAGGAAAGCAAAATTACCATGTATATATAATAGTATATTATGTATCAAGTTTGATAAATGCCACGAATTTAATTTAGGCACGAACGAGCTTGCGAGCGAGTGCTTAAATTAATGAGTGTATAGAAAAGTTTATAAACGAGGTGCATACTATACTTTTCTGCGACAAATACTTATTATTATCTTAAAATGATTTAAAACAAAAATTTGTATAGAGCGCCATCTATGAAACAATAGGGGAATCTGTGTGTCACCGTCAAATGTAAATTTTTTTATTTTATAAACACGGATTATAAAGGTTATAAATCGAAATGTATTTCATAAAAATTGACAGTTTTTCACAGTGAAAGCAAAGAAAATGTTTTATGAACACTTTACAGTGGAGTCCGTGTCCGAATTTAAGTTATAGTTTACTGCCGGCGAAATTAAAAGGTCAAATACAAATACTTATACTTATTATTATCTTAAAATGATTTAAATCAAAAATTTGTATAGAGCGCCATCTATGAAACAACAGGGGAAACTGTCAAATGTCACATTTTATTTTATAAACACAATTATAAAGGTTATAAATCGAAATGTATATTGAAAATTGACAGTTTTTCACAGTGAAAGTAAAGGAAATGTTTTATGAGGACTTTACAGTAGAGTCCGTGCCCGAATTTAAGTTATAGTTTACTGCCGGCGAAATTAAAAGGTCAGTACAATGTTCATATAAACTTTTCAAATATTGGCGTTGAGAAACTATTTAATATTTTTGTATTTTTGTATTAAGATAATAAAATAATTTTCACATTTAGTATTATTTTTCAAGGAAGGCACTTTATTTTACAGATTGTATGACATTTGACAACTGTCAACTAACTTAAAACTAACTTCACCCCGTGACTAAAAACCTGTTGCTAACTTCAGCCCATGACTAAAGCGCCGTAAAGCCACAACTTGTCAATGTGTATTTAAAAGGTCACTTAGTGTCATGGAAACATGTACGATAAAGGGCGTTTTAAAGGTGGGAGTAGAAACAATATTTTATTGCATTTTGTTTTTTATTGTAATTTTGTTATAAAAAAATCATTTTAAATAATTAAAAAAGTAAAGTATAACTTTTTACCAAGCGATTGCTATGTAGCGTAATCTTTTAAGTGCCATAGTTATCCTGTTTTAAAGTTAAAATGTATATTATTGATGTTAAACATTACAATAAACCTACTTATTTAAATAAGTGACTGCTACAAAAGGATCGAATATTCAGATTATTTAGAACATTATTTTTTATGTGAATATGTTAAGTTTTTCAGACACAAAACCTGTTTAAGAGCGACAACGACAAAAGGCTTATTTAAATGATAATGCACAACGAGACACATACACGTTAAATTACCAGAAAAAACAAACTAAGAAAGAATACAAAATGTATGGAAATGTTAGCCTTCAGGTTCGGTTTGACGTCGTATTTAGAAAAATATACTTGATGAAAATTTTAAATATTAATTAATTAATAAAAAAAAATGCTAAATTGCAACTTTTAAAATAAAAAAAAGAAGCCTCTATAGGACAATGTGATTTTGAACCATGCAAAAACGACCATTATTAATATTCTAGGTATCGGGTGGCTTTTAAATATTAAAGATATGGTAAATTTGTATAGTTAGGTATAATTTGATGTGTAAAATTGTCTGGGTTAATTATTTTAATTGTTCTCTTCCCATCAAATTGCGAAAATTGATGATCCTATGCAAATAAGTGAAAAGTATGAAATTACCGAGTTATAACACAGTTTGTACCACTTTCCAATAGGCATTAGCATAAGTAATAATAATTAAGGTAATTATTTAAATATAAAAAAATCTAGAGAGTACGTGGATATGTGATATAACAGAAAAAATTACATAGGAAAACTTAAAATAAGTATCCTTCTAGATTTTAATTTTATCTATCGTTAAAACCGCTCTTCTGCATAGGTTCATTTAAGTTACTGTTGATGGTAACAGACCGTGAAAAACAATTTTAGATTAAAATCAAACAGGAACTTGCAATTTAACTTTTAAACTAACTGTATCTGTACGCTTATTTAGAATTAAACTGTCAACAATAGGATTTTAAAACGTATCGCATATGCAAACATATCGCTAACGAACACCATAATCTACGTTTTTATAAAGTTGCAAAAAACGCCAATACCGGTAAGTTATTAAAATAATTAAAAAGCTCGTTAATCAAAGTAACCTTAGCAATATTTTTTACGAAATTTACAAGCGACTATACCGTTTATAAATTGCAGTCAGGGTTGCCATGGTAATTGTGCTCCTCTATACCTATACTTTTTTAAGATAAACCCATCTTAAAAAAATGCCATAAAATAACAACGATTTGGGTTTTTTCTGTAATAATGGTACATGACGTTATTTAATACACCTAAGTAAAATAGTGTTCTTATTAAATAACATTCTGTATTTTAAACATACTCACTGTAGTTTAGTTTATGTAAAACAATAATAACAGTATAAAAAATTAAAGTTAATGACGTACATTTTACGTCAAATTTCCTTCCTCGTCACACTAGAGCGTGGCGTTGAACGGCCATAGCAATTTTTTCTCGCGAAATTAAGTAAATTGGTTTGTATTTGCTTTGAATACGTAATGAAGTCTAAAGGTAATAACCAGTATTATTATACGTAAAGTTTTGAGTCTAATAATAGGCTAAATATTGATTCTAAAATTTGCAATTTACGGTTTACTATTATTATAACAAGCAAACCCTTACTGTTCTTGCATTAATATTAATATTACGGTAATATAACATTTTAAAATTGTATTCCAAATATTATTAAAAGACATTTGAGATGTCTCAAAATCCTTATCTGTCTACGAGTCCCCTAATAAACTCATATTTCAGACTAAGCAAATCACGATAAGGATTCAATGATTAGTTTACCCAGAAACCATGCATTACTAGAAGGGAGAATAAAAAACTCTACAGGCCATGGTTAAAATTACTTCTTAAGATGAAAAAATTAAATAGTTTTTAAGAAATTTGATTTTTTATATTTCAATTTTTCTTTTAATTTTATTTGTGTATTTTATTTAAATAATAATTATTATAGTGAAATAATAAAAACAATTACAATTCTCATTCAATTCCTCCGTTTAGAAAACCAATTAAACCTTTTATATTATTATTATTAGAAGATACAAGGTACCACAATGTTATTTAATTTTAGAAAACAAAAATTACACCTTTTAATGAGTAGTTTAAGAATTATTAAGAATTTAATCTCTGAAACACTGTTATAAAATAAAATATGTAACGGTTGTTGTACAAATGAAATTTTAAAAAAAAACTAACAAATGTATTGTATAACAGTTTCTTAAAAAACTTTTCAATCCTTAATCCGAATTGTCTAAAAACGTTGATGTTATTTATTTCTATTAATAGTGTTTTCTAAAGGTTGTTTTGGTATTTCAGGAACCAAATTTTGGAAATATTGAAGCGTATTCATAAGTAGGTATTTTTTTATGTGCTCATTAATGCTTTTTAAAGCATAATTTCTGTATATCAACGGCCTAAGAACCCAGAATATGTTAATTCATGTTTCCTGGTAAAAATAAAAAAAATTGGTTTAACATATTTTTCCATAGGAATTTCATAAATTTAAAACAGTCATGTTTTTAAAAGTTTTTCGTATGATGCTGCCAATGTCTTGGTAAATTTAAACCAAATCCATACCGATAGTCGACGACGAAGGCGCAAAGCAATGCAGCAAAGGAGGGCAAAGAGAGTGGCAGTAAGGCACTTCCTGTGTCGAGATAGCACACCACCAACACCAACAACAGCGGGCCCTACGTTATCTCTCTCCCTCTTCTTCGTTTGCGCTCTCTCACTTATTTTAGATCTGGTACGCCACTGATTGCCGGCGTTATCGGGCGGCGGAAGAGCAATCTCATCTCGCGCCGGACGAAGAATGTCCACCTAAAGCTTGTGCAATGCACCGTGCATACAAAATACAGCAAAAGAAGATTTATTCGCATAAATGATTTGACGTGAAAATCATTATTTTTTTAGTAACACTGTAACAACTCCGAGGTAT